ATATAATGTTATTTTAGTATGGAATTAGCATCTAAAAAAAATATAAGAACACCATTAGAAGCGAAAATGAGAAATAAGATTTAGGCCTTGTTTGATTGCTCTTAACGAGCCTCTTAATCACTAATTTGCTGAATCGGTAAGCAATTGAAATATTAAGTGCGTTTGATATTAATGACTGAATGGTTCCAAAATACTCTTAACTATTCAGTCCAAAAGTTGGTGCTGACCGAACAAGTGCTACATCTGAAGCAAATTTGCACATAATTATTCTTTAATAAACTCAGATATTTCCACATTAGCCTCAGGTAATATCCCAATTCCCAACACACTACCACTTTTCTTCTTTAACAAAATCACCACTGCACAACTTCCAACTTTTTTACTCCTTAAATAAGTTATATCCTTTTTTATCTTAATGCAATCTAATTATGTATTAAAATAAAAGGTAATTAGAATATATTTTATTTGTGTCAATTTTAGTGAATTTAGTATATTTTCATATTTTAAGTTAATAAGTATTACTATTACTACCTTTAATTGCTTAGAGATTACTTTTTAAATTTGTTTGGCTTTTATATTTTGTATTTATATTATTATAATGTTAAATACTTGATATTTAATACACATAGAGATGTTTAATGTCTGCCGAAATTTCATAATTTGTTGATTGATTTAATCATACTAAAGGAATTATATTTATACATATATGTTACTCATTAACAAATATTACAGTATTTGACCAAGGATATAAAAGTAAAATAATATTATTCAGACGACAGAACTTCAGCTATCAAATGAGCTTAATGATTCAGCATTCAGTATCCAGGCGTAACTCTTAGTCATTCAGATGCGTATTCAGCATTCAGCATTCAGCGCTTAATATTATCAAACATAGCCTTAATGTTTTTCTAAACGTATATTCCAAGTTTATATTTGAAATGAGATTTGGGTTTTTTTTTTTTTCTTTTTTTCTTTTTTGTGGAAACGCCTTTTCACTTTTTTCATTTTATCATAAACGTCTCTGAAACTTTTGAATATCTCCGTAACATTTCCAACAAGTTTCATGAAGCTTCGGTTTCCAAAACGTGGAAATGCGTGCGGGTTGAAAATTTCATTCATTATTTGATTGCAGTTTGACGCTTTCCCTTTTGTTGATTGTATTTTGCATTTTTATGTATACACAACGGTTCAGGTGGGTGGACAAACGAGACGCGGTTATAGAAAAATAATAAAAAAATGAATTTGAAGCCGAAGCGGGAAGGGGCCTCAATATTTATCTGTATATATGAATATTGAACTGCCTATAAAAATAAAAAAGTTGAGCGATTTTGTTTACTAAATCAATGAGAATCATGCAATTTTTTAATTGCATTCATTTTTTTTTTCTGAATTAAATGCTTTTATATTGAATTGTATATTGTTTAGGGAAATATGTTCGCACACTTAAAACTTGTTTTAATTTTTTAATTAAATTGTTTAGGGATATATATATATATATATATATATATATATATATATATATATATATATATATATATATATATATATATATATATATATATACATATGGATGTCTCGGTACACCCACACACAGGTGTGCAGCGTTTGACTCGTCCCTTCTGCCGACAATGCGCTCCTGGTCTTAACTGTACGTGTCCAGCCGCCGACGCTGTTACTTTGAAGAATTATAGTGCTCAAAGCAAGCCTACGCTCTGGATATCTTAACATGGGATATCTGTATAGGAATTCGGTCCTATCACGATGTCCTTCACGATCGGAGTAATGATATACAGGTACAGTCTGGGGCGTTCGAATTTCT